TAATAACGTGTCTCGGCATCTAATAGCCACTGACACGGGATCTGTGATACATTTGTTTACATAATAATACAAAACATAACAATTAGATTAAATTAAACAGTCGTCAGTCTTTGAGACACTGTATTACTATACTGAGCTGGTTAGGTTAGGCCGAGAATGTCTTTGAGAGTTCCACTGAGTTTGTATTTGTGGCGAGTTGGGCTGTAGTGTATGCAATTTAAAAGTATATGCTCAATTGTGAGTCTTGCATTACCACAAATTTTACAAGTAGGGGGATTTTGTGAAGACATCAGGTAACCATGGGTGAGACGGAAGTGGCCTATTCTGAGTCTTCTTATAACACTTTTGTCCTTTCTTGTCATTGGGGGCAGGTCCAGCGCAGAAACAGTGGGTTGGATTGTATTTAGTTTGGTAGTAAATGTGTTCCAATGTGTTTGCCATGTTTGAATCATCATTTGTCGAGCTGCTGATTTCCAGTCTTCGTGGAGTTGAATTTGCTCCTCTGGCAAGTCGGAGGAACAAACTTGTTTCGCTGCTTGGTCTGCATCCTACATGAGAATGAATCCAGATGGTATTTACAAGGACACCTGCCACCTACGATGGTGGTGGCAGGTGTCGAGGATATCTTGAACCAAAAAATGATGTGAGTAACTATTTTTGATAGACAATATTGATGAAAAGGAGTCTGTGCATATGGCAAGTTAACTGTTATCTTGTATTATCCCATATAGTTCAGCTGTGTGTATACTACAGAAATTGGGTTATTTATCAGTTCTCTGAATCTTTGTATGAAGACTATGTTAGGCGTATCGTGCTTATTGTAATTGCTCAGGCATGTATTCAAAAATGGCGGTTTTCTGGTCCGTGGAGGAGTTTTAGAAAGTTTTATAAGAGTTGTAGCTTTGGTGTTTCTTGAAATAGGGTACAATGATTGTAGACTTGAAAGCGACGTTCTGGGTATGTTTTTGGGAGCCGGTTTTATAGAATCAATTAATTTAAATACCGGGTTTTGTGGGTAAGCAGATACCCTGGAGAAATAGGATAACAGTTGGAATTTTTGTCGTATAAAGAGAGGTGATTCAGAGGATTCAATATGAATGCTTTCCGTAGGAGTGGATTTGAAGACACCCAGACATATTCGTAGTGCTATGGTTTCAATTGCGTCAAGATATTTGAGGTATGTTTAATCACTCTTCGTAAAGACCTCGTGAATAATCTTTGAGTTTCTGTCATTTATTTACAAATAGATCATAGTGATAATAAAACGTATAATGAGCAAACGAATAAGTAGGTTTTTCAATAGAAAATCGGCACCTCACACAAAATATCACGAATATTTTTGAATAACTCATATTGGCAAAAGTCCGTTTTAACGAATTTCAAACCATCGCGCAAACAGGGCGAGGGCGAGTCATTCCAACAGACCACCTTCGTTTCATCCGTCTACTCTCCCACCGGGTGATTGATAAAGCCGACAATCATCGTTATTAAATAGATTTTCTTGGAGATTACCGGATTTAGGAGCTCCCCGGGGCGAAATTACCGTTTCCGCTGGCCGGTCGTTATCCGGACAGAACTAATTTACAGGACTGGTTTTCGAGGAAGTGCGATGCCCACTCGGTTTGATCGACTTTTGGGAAAACGATCGCGATTGCTTCTCAAAAGAATTTCAATCTCTTATTTCCGAATGATAATGTGTAGTATGGGTGCCTAGAGCGATTTTTGGAGTCTGAGAGATGAACGGCTTTGACAGACTGAAAAAATTGTGATTTATTACTGTTTCCAGTTTTCATCTTTCGAAATGAACTGTATACTTCAAATAGATAGATACGCGGTATGATGAGATAATACTTTTGGGTACGCCGCTCAAGAATTTGGTGCAAGGCGGTTTCATAAGGTACCCCGCTCTTGAGGACACGACTCAGTCGTTTCCTGGCTGCACCACCGAACCTTTTTTTTACACACTATCATCTCCAATGGCGTACTTCGAACTTTCGAAATGAGACACCTCATCAGCACCCTTTTTCATAACATTACAAGACGACACACTCATTTATTCCATGACATTGCGAATTTTTGTCACCGCAAGAGACAGATCTACTCGTGTCCCGATGAAAGTAGATTCGCCAAGACATTCATACGCTTATTTGATTCAACCACAATTTTATTTAAATTGAAACGGGTATGTTTTACAGGAGAGATTAGTTGTTGAGAAAAGCTTTTCTACCGTACATATAACTTCCTTCATCGTTCCGCAATGATGTTCTAAGATTTTCCCGGACCTTTCTGACTATTCTCGAACATTCCACAACATTCCGGAATTTCCTGGAGTTTTGGAATGTTGTATAATGCTCCTCAACACTCTCGAATGTTCTGGACTATTCTAGAACCTTCTAGATGTCCAAAGTTCCAGCCCGCATACCATCAAAAACTCGCCCTTTCGGACAAGCTAATGTGACACGAAAGGATCAGATCAGATTATCCAATTCAGGTGAAAAGAAATTGGTAATCATCGAACCATAATGCTCGCCGTTGACAGTGATGACTTGGCCAACTTCATTATCAAAGAAACATGGACCGATAAGGCTGCCAGCCCAAAATCCACACCAAACATTGCAAGCTTTTGGATCTCATGTGAAATGGTATCGTTCCAAATTCGCTCGTTCACATACCCATTTATCCAGAAATGAGCCTCATCGCTCCAGAAGATTTTTTGATGAAAATTGGGGTCATCAGTTGCCAACTGCTCCATAGCCCATTCAGCGAATACAAGTAGTTGTCTATGGGCGTTTACTTTTAGTTCCTGGGTCCGTTGAATTTTATACGGGTGCAGGCCCAAGTCACGACGCAAAATTCGCCAAGTTGTGGTTTGCAAAAGTTCGAGATGATCGATCGTTTTCTGAACCAGCGGACTCAAATGTTTCCACCATATTTCGATTAGTTCTCTCGTTAGGACGATTATGGCGACCGTAAAATTGGCGAAGCGCGCGGTACGTTGCCCAAACAACCCATTTTGAAGAAACAATTTTATTATTTGCACGCGTTATTGAACGCTTTATCTGGGCGGCTTCACCCACGTAGAATTTGGTTTGTCACATTGAGTTTCGTGACAGACCATTTTAAAGAAATGGTCATTTTAAATAATGACCAATATTTTTTACTAACCCAGCTTCAAAAGTAATGAAATTCAATACAATCTTCAAACCCCTATTTTTCCCCTTGGGGGTGAAAACTCCTGATTCACCCTCTTGATGCTTATATACCCTGTAGAAGGAACCAACATGTATATCATCAGATTCTAGGTTCAGTAGCTTCAGTAGCTTGGGCTGTACGTTAATATATAAGAGTCAGTCAATCAATAAGTTACCACTTATACAATATTGAATGGCATGCGCAAAAAATAACTGAAAGAATTTGAATGGAATACATTGGTAATCCTACTAATCTTACTTTTACTAATATTATAAATGCGTATAGTTTGTGAGGATGGATTAATGTAATGTATTTATTTACGTTTTTTACTTTTTCACTCCTAAAAAGCTCAACAGATTCAAATTTAAGTTGGTATATAGATAGATCAC